TTCATTTAATTTTAATTGTATGGTTTGTAAGGCTACACACTTTCAAGAAGTAGAGTTGTAGTTAGTTAATGAGCACGTCAGAAGGAAAAGGTCACCAAAGTTAAAGTTTAATAAAAGTAAAATAATTATAAAGTTAGAGTGGCAAATCTTTCCTTGAGTAGTTGGTGTTTAGAAGAACGGTTGTTGACGTACTGCCGATTGTGAGATTGCAATTAATTAAATTTAAATACATGCGACGCGTGACTAAAAGTAGGTTGCAGTAAATAAATATGTGTGGTGTAACCATACATATTGGCCACGCGAAAAGCAAAGAAACGAAAGTTAACTCTCAAGGAAAAGATATGATAGCACAAAGCAAAGAATTAAAGGCTTTAATTGTCGAAGTTGAGTGGTTGCAGTTAAGTCGAGTTGAAGTTGATGGGCGAGAAATGTTGTTCCTCGCGCCATTAGTAGTTTCAGTAGTTGTAGGCGCATTTTTTTTGTATAGTTGTGCAACAGAGTGTGGTGGCTCTTATTGCACTCTTTGCAAGTTTTAGTTGATGTGCACTTAGCATTTCCGTGACTATACAGGCAGTTTCCGCATACATGAAATTTTGCAACTGTATTAATGCGTTGCATAGCATTCATGTTGATGAACTCGGGGCATTGCATCAACACGTGATCTCCTTTGCAGTTAGGACATTACCCAATAGTTGAAGTAGTAAAATAAGTTTTGTTGTAAGTGTGGCGTAAAATTTCCCAGCATGACTCACAGTGTTTAGCGCCGATGCTGAGATGTTGTACTAGTCGTTCAGCTTTTCCTCTCAACTTTGTCTTCAGATGTTGTATCGTTTGTGCCTTGTTGATTGTAGGATTATTATAATTTGCCTCCAAAAAAAGATCTTTGAAAGAAATCCATTGCATGTAGCTGCCCGAGAATTCAGGTACTTCTATTTTCGGCGCAGATTTTTCATAGTGATTATTCGACCAAATTTTTGTGTTAAGCTGACGTCGTACCTCATCGTATTTCCCCTCCATAGTAATAAACAAGTTATAGTATCGAAGATTGAAGCCTTTGAGTTTTGCTTCCAACTCCCAGTGCTGTTTATCGATAACTTCCCACTTGGACTTCAAAATTGATAGATTGTTTTGTAATTCCCATCTCTCAGTTATAGCTTGAAGGTCGATTTTAGACATGACGCGATCGAGAGCTTTAAAGTTGCATTCTTGCTGCTCTAAAAGCGTTTTGACGCTTGCGTCGGTGGTGCCGTCCAGCATCCCGGTGAGATCAAAATGCACAGACTTGCTTTTGCCTACTTGTAGCAGTAAGTGTTGCATACTTTGTAGTTTCATAAAGCTCCTTAGTTTTGGTAAAACATTCCCTGTGAAGTAGTAGATGTAAAAAAATAAGATAAAAATCTTCAATCATTTCCACAATAATTTTGTGGCGCTGTTCAAAGTCGATCCATTGATCTTCACGGGATTGGATTCGACTTAGTAAGTACTCCTCAGTTTTTCTACTCGCTCCGTCCTTCTTGTAGTTTGAGCAGAGAGATTTGATGTTATTGAAGCATTGTAGTTGAAGATCCAACATATTTGTGATGTAGTTTTTCTTGGTACACTAAGTTTGTAGTAAAGTTAGTTAGTGAAGTAGCTGACCCGTAGTTTAAGGTGACGCTCGGTGACAGTCGTTTCGGGTTGACCCAATCCGCAACGCCAGATAAATTGTAGTTATATAGTTGTAATAATCCCGTAGTTCACAGCAATAACTAAGTTGAAGTAGGTTATCTCTTGGATTGTCCCGCAGTTTGCGGCGACAGGTGAGTTAGTCTATTTAGCTCGTAGACTGGCTTGTACTTACACAGTCGTGGCGACACGCGCTGATTGGTGCACGACCCGAAGGCAACAAATTTTTTCGCAGCCTCCTTGTATCCAATCTTCGAAAAGCGAAACTTCAATAAGTAGTACCAGCTTCGAATTTCTCCGTCTTGGAAATGATCGTGATGAGAGTGCGAGTGTAACTGCCCCCGAGCGATATTGTATGCGCCTTCTCAATTCACCGGTGAGACCCGCTTCTGGGAGGTCGATGAACCGATCGCTACGGCAAAGAGACAAATACCCTTTTCTCGAAGGACCATAAAATGTATGGTTTGTAAGGCCACACACTTTCAAGAAGTAGAGTTGTAGTTAGTTAATGAGCACGTCAGAAGGAAAAGATCACCAAAGTTAAAGTTTAATAAAAGTAAAATAGTTATAAAGTTAGAGTGGCAAATCTTTCCTTGAGTAGTTGGTGTTTAGAAGGACGGTTGTTGACGTACTGCCGATTGTGAGATTGCAATTAATTAAGTAAATTTAAATACATGCGACGCGTGACTAAAAGTAGGTTGCAGCGTTTACTAAATAAATATGTGTGGTGTAACCATACATTAATATTTTATTATTTTTAGCGACATGCCCTTTTACTTGAGCCCAGACCAACTCAATTGGGTTAAGCTTGCAGTGATAAGGAGGCAGTCGCAAAATAATGACATCCTGTTTAGCAGCCATCTCGTCGACGACATTCACAGGCTTTTTTGTGCATTTCGGCAATTTCAACTAAATCGTTTTTAACATTATCTCTATCTGAATTTGCTATTTTCGCCAACTAGTAGTAGGTAACGATTTCAGTTTCCTGGTGTGATATGGAGCATTATCTATTACAAGTACTGTGTTGTCTTTTAATTTCAGGAGAATATTTTTTAACCAGTTTTCATATTGATCAGATTTCATCTCCTTGCAGTAATCATCTAGCCCCCTTTTCGCTTCAAAAGCTAGTAGACCATCATCCACAAAACCCTCTTCGCGTGGAACATGGGACACTACTAGTCATCTCCCCATGCCTGAAGGCCGTTTTAATCCAGTGGTTAGGCTTTTTAAGAAAGCCTGACGTGATGATTGCACACTGGTGTCCACCTAGTGCTTATTCTCAGTATGGTCTAGAATGATTAATAATATTATGTGAACAAAATAATAATAAAAGTAAATAATGATATTATAAAGACGGTAGTCTCGAGAAACAAGTAAATGCTAATATAATAATAAAAACGTTTATTTTCTCCAACACAGAATGCAAAATTAGTACAATGGATTTGTGGAGACTGGAGCCTATACTAGTATTACACCTATACACACTATACCTGTATTACAGGTCTCCAGCCTTCCAAACTACCCGGATAGGTCACAGTAATACAAACACAGCTACTATTAGATGATAACGTTAGTACCAACCTTCATTAATCCACGTTTCATCTTGATAAAAAAAAACCTTCCCTACGATACTGCTTTATTTTTGTAAATATCGATGACGCCATAAAATTATGCCATCTCGTTTTTACTGCAGACTTTCTTTATGTGTCTCATAACTTTGTACTGGGTGAACCAATTTCGATGATTCTTTTTTTATATAAAAGCTGATAGTTCTCGTGTGGTCCCATATGATCAAGGTGAGACCAACAGTTTTTGAGTTATTCTTAAATAACTTATATTGAAGTCGGCTGTACAAAATTTTTAATTTTAAATTATTTCGGTCTCGGTTGGAGATTCGGTATTCTTTTCAGTATGTATACATTTGTAAGCGTTCATGATCATATCTTTTTTTTGGCGATACACTTTCTTCATCACGCCTATACGACGAAGTAGAAGGTTAAGCGTCCATCATAAATTGTTCAACGAAAATAAAAACATAACAATACCTTAAAACTTAACTCTCCTAGTTCTGGTACTCGATACGAGAGGGCGTTAATGGTAACTAGTGTCACGCAACAGTATGTAAGTAGGTACTTGGGTAGTGAAGTAAATTTCAACTAAGTTTTGTAATAAAGTACTTCTCCTGTGGTTAAGTTATTACTCAATTATTTTTTTCACTATAAATACCTATTTAACAAAAAAATTAAATAAATTTACCTTTCATTATCCTTCGGTAACTCAAAATATGATATATCTCAATCCCTTTAATTGCTCAATAAGCATCCATCCATTATAGTAGGAATTATAGTAGGAATGACGTTTTGCCATTATAATTTATCAAATAGATAGGTAATATACATATATATTATTCTTAAATTACAATAAAACTTTTTAAACTATTTTATCCTACACTTAAATATACTAAACACTAAACAAAAAATATTTCGACGAATATTTCAACAAGTATTTACAAAAAATTATTTACGTAAACAGCGTTAAAAAACTTTTACATTCAATCGCCTAGAGCGCGCTAGCCCCGACTGTGATCTACCCCTGGGGCAGCTCGCGATTGTAGGTAATTATTTCACGCAGGTAACAAGAGTGACAGAGACCTGGCAAAAGGAATATTTCTACCAAATTTCAAGTCTCTATGCCTTATGGTTCCAGAGATCGTGATGAATCAGTACATAGGTGGAAATCTCTTGTGGATTATATAAATATATAATATATTATTACCTTCAAATAGAAGTTTAACAATTTACATAAACTATCGAAATAAGATCGTTGTCTTGTAAATATATTGTCGTTGCCAGCTGGAAGGCTAGTGTTTTCCAACTTCCACAGCACTTTCTGAGGTATCGTTACGAAAGCTTGCAGGAATTGCTGCAATTTTTTCGTCGTCATTGTGCTATCTATCAGATTCGAACCAAAACTAACGTAAATTGTTCCACTGGTTGCATTAGCTAGGATGTCTTCAATATTCTGAAATTAATTAAAAATAGGTTCACTATTTCTACGCTCTGAAAACTACCAGTCATGTAACTTTTCAAAAAGTCAAGGGGCACATCTCTGATCCCACAGTTTTCTAACTTCTGCAAAAGAATTGGGGTAGTCACGGTGTTAAATGCCTTTTTAAGGTCAAGAAACACCGTGAGGCAGTTTGACTTTTTATCAAGATTATCAACAACTACAGACATTAGGGCTTCTACAGCGGCTTCAGTTGATTTTCCTCCTGCAAATGTGCTAGTAAAGATTTCTATAAGTTGTTTGTAAAAAGGTTTGTTTGCATTTCACAGGGCGTGATTCACATCCTGGAGACACAGCGGCTGGTGGAGGCCCGCCTCCACGAGCTGTTCATGTGCGACGTGGACTCGCTGGTGGAACAGTTCCAGAGCCTGGCCCGCAACAAGTATGTGCCAACTGTCAAGATGCACTCTGGATACATTATAAATTTATCGTTTCCGTTACAAGCTATTAAAGTCCACTGCTGAATATATTATGTCTCCCCAAAGGTTGCCTCATGAAGGGATATTTACCATAGTTGCCACTCTTAGCAAGCGGCTTGGCAACCCCAGATTTTATTTTAGTCGTTATTAGGAAGACGCTGCTGATCCCATCTCCTGATTTTTTTCTTCTGTCGTCTCTTACGACACCCACGAGATGATATGGGTTAGTGGATATTTTTATACCGCCCACTACACGGTAACAAACTTATGTAACAAATAATAACGCAACAAGAATCTATTGCTTATTTCATGTTGAAATTTATTTTAATATGGAGTTGCTACGTTATAATGATGAATAATAATAATATCCTCCAGACCAAATTTCGGTCGCGACAGCCAGTCTCATTGCAGACAAGAAGCATGGGACAGTATTATAATGTAAGAGTGTATGCGCAGGCAAAGCGTAAAAGTGTTTTGGTCTATTCCCTCACTCTCATCGGACGGCAATTCGACACGACCAGAGAGAAAGATCGGGTGTAGTACCAACGCAATGAACAACTTTTTGTGCTTTCTACTTTCTTTCGGGGTTATTCTTTAAATATTAATTATAGTATTCATCTTTTTATGTTTTTTATTAACCTATACCTGTTATGGGTCTCTCCCGTTGTACGGTGTATTTGCATTGACGATCGAATTCATACGTGAGTATTTATTGACGCTGCTTGGTGACGTGCTTGGTCAAATAATTAATGATTATACGAACTTAACTTAAGTGAAGTTCTATCAGGTGCTTCGTCCTCTTGATTAGTAACTGGAACTTATTAAACACATCTAGTATCACGTTTTGGTTTCACTACTCGCACTAGTTAAGAATCTAAAAATTAAAAACCCCCTTCTTTTCCCTTCTACCTCCGGTGACGGGAGTGGGGAGAACCCCACTCTACGTACCATCCTTAGAGTCTGTGCTCGATATGTCATTAAATTTAGAGCTATTTATGTATCAATTTTTTGTGTATATACACAAAAATGATATTTCCTGCATAATTGGGTATCAGAAGGGAGGGTAGGAGTGAGTTACCAATCTCTTCGGACGAAGCACCTCGTATAATTATAATAGAACTTCATTTAAGGTTCGTTTAATCATTAATTATGCTTCTTATTCATCCTCTAGATTCGTAACTGGAACTTATTAAACACATGTACATGTTGAGAGCGATAACAGGATATATCAAAATTCATATAAAGAGGGTAAAACTATTCTGTATTTACTTTCTATCAAAGATGTGATAAATACATGCTCGGTATTATTTGTATATCATCATCATCATTATCATTACAGCCCTTCACAAGTCCACTGCTGAACATAGGCCTCCCCAAGGAATGCCACAAAGCACGGTGCTGAGCCACCTGCATCCATCGACTTCCTGCATGTCTTACCAGGTCATCACTCCATCTAGTGGGGGGAAGCCCTAAGCTTCGTCTAGGCTGCCACTTTAGAACCTTTTTTCCCCATCGGTTGTCGGTTCTTCGAGCTGACCGGATGGCCGGCCCATTATCACTTCAGCTTATTAATCCGATGGGCTATGTCGGTAACTCTGGTTCTACTGTGGATATCCTCACACGCAGAGAAACCCCCGAGCATAGCCTTGTTCGCTGAGCGACCTTGAGCTTTCTAATACGGCGGGCAGTGAAGGACCACGTTTTAGTTCCATAGGTCATAACTGGCAACACGCACTGGTTGTACAGTCTAGTTTTTATGTTTTGAGGTATATCTGACGAGAAGATATGCCGTAATTTCACGAACGTTGCCCAGCCGAGTTAAATCCGTCCATTAACCACTCGGTCGAAGTTGGCTCAAGCACCATGCAAGCTGTATACGAGCTGTATTGAAGTTCGTTTTTATACCAGAAGCTGTATTTTCTGGCTGTATAAAAGCTGTATAAGCGCTTATATACTTCTTATAAGTAAAAAATTGCCACAAATTATGCAGCTTTATGAGTTAGTAGCGCTGTACAGTAGCTGTACAAGCATAAAAGAGGCTGTATAACTGCTGTATTACAGCTGTTATTTGAAGTGCAAGAAAACTATTACACTACAGATATTGTCTTATAAGTAATTTATAAAGACAATCGTTCTAAATTGGTTTTGGAATGGGATTACAAATAAATATATAACAATAAGATTATAATGATTGTTTATGCCCAAAATTGGTCATTTTGAACGCCATCCAATCGCGTTCGAGCTGGCACGTCACCCGATGGTGTCGAGGTGAGGTAATGCCGACGGCGGGTGGAGGCGGCCGCGTGCCGCGGTCAGTCGCTCAACGGCTCAACGCGGGAGCTGTCGCTGGCAGCGGTGCGGTTAATCCGCGTATCTCGTTTATCGCTGCAGAAGTTTCGCGCGACCGGTGTACGGTCTAGATAGCTAGATTTAGTGCGGGTTACTTCGCTACGTAATTGGGGTTTTGTGAAAACCGCCTCGTTTTAGGTTGTCTAGGTTTTAAGTTCTTGACAAGAGGCTTGTATTGTGTTTGACTGATTAAACTAACTTCTTTGAAAGTAATTGTGCAAATTATATAGTGATTGCGTGTAGAAGTGCATTTTGCAATATTTAACTTGCTCGGGTGACATGGAATTTCGCATGCACGCGCCGAGTAGATATACGGGTAGAATTTGAACCGCGCATTCCTTGTTCGAGGGCGTCTCCCGGTTGATTGTTTGGAAATCATTGTTTAATTATTCCGTCGCGTTAAGAGCCTTTTGTGTGTTGACTCTTTAGTTAATTTGCGTGTCAGCTAGGTTAATTTTGAATTCTTATTGCGGCGTGGTGTTTAATATCGAACGAAGGAACTTAGTTGTGTTTGTAACGCTGAACCGTGTGACTCATGAAGAGATCGCGTTAGTTCCCTATTTGTAATTTGGTGGTAAATGAATCCGGGACATTGAATATTGAACTTTGAACTACTGTCCGTTATTGTGTCGGGTATCACGTGTTCTATTCTACGATGAACGTTGAATTGGTCGAGTTGAACTTAGCTAAATGTACAATAAAGTTAATAGACTGAAATAGTGACAATGAAGAAAGAAACTGTCCATGGTGGACGCCTGCTGGAGTGATTCAGCATTGTGGGGCAGCATGGAAACCGTCACGCTACCAGGTCACCCTCATATACACACCACTAAACACCACTTTACATGCATATACTCTACCTACGCCCTGACCGAGCCTTGGGGCGGTCTAAAATGGTATACGGATGCAGGTACGTACCATTTATTTTCCTAGCCTTCTCCTCATTTTGTAGTATGATAAGTCATTTTTCCATAAGGGAATTTGGGCCCCTACCCACGGCTGCCCGTCGAACAGGCTACTATGGGCCCTAGCCAAGGCGACCTTTGCAGGGGCAGCTGTGGGCCGTAACAGTGATACTATAATAACACTTAGAGTTGTATAAGCAAGGGACAGCATGCAAAAAAACCGGCCAAGTTTGAGACGGACTCGCACACCGAGGGTTCCGAACAAATCTGTAGGTATATAAGTTTATAGATGTAACTAGAAATATATGCTTTTCGCAATTTTTCCTTTATCTGCGTTATAATACGTTGCTTCGTACCAAATTTTATGGTTCTAAGGTCACGGGATGTACCATGTAGGCCTTGATTCCCTTGCAAATGTCGAAAATTTGCGGCATAAACGGCTGTATCTTTTGATTACGTTGGTTTAGAAGTTTGATTTTTTCACAGCTCCAAGGGACAGTAGATTTGAGTATTTGATTTGAATTTCATATCTTGATACCTCCACGCGTTCCTGCGAAAAAGGCTCTTGACAGACAGACAGACAGACGGACAACAAAGTGATCCTATAAGGGTTCCGTTTTTTCCTTTTGAGGTACGGAATCCTAAAAACAGCTTCTATACAGCTTTAATGATAAAATCGGATTGAAGTGTTACAAAATACTTAAATGTATGGTAGTGAAAGTTGGGTGTGGCAGAAGAAGCATGAGAGTAGAATAAATGCTGTAGAAATGCGGTCATTAAGGTGTATGTTAGGGATGAAGCTGAATGACAGAGTGAGAAATTGTTTAATAAGAGAAGAGTGTGGTTTGCAAGATGATGTTGTGACCAGGATTAAGAAAGGAATGCTTTGGTGGTTTGGCCATGTAGAAAGAATGAATGAGGAAAGAGTGACAAAGCAAATTTATGTTGCAGAGGTGAACGGCACAGTCGGGAAGGGTCGCCCTAGGCGAAAGTTTATCGACCAAATTGGCGATATATTAAAAATGGGCCAAATCAAGAATACCTTTAACCGACGAGCGTGTATGCGTAGGTATATGGATGTGGAGGAAGCGAGAGAGGTGTGTCAGGATCGTGCCAAATGGAAGTCCATAATCTCTGCCTACCCCTCTGGGTGACAGGCGTGAGTGTTTATGTTATGTTATGTTAAAATACTTAAAGTTGTATAGTAGAGATTTCATATTCTCATTAAGAACCCTAAGCTTACTGAGATCCAATAATACAGACTTTATACAGCTTGAACTTTATAATAACTCATAAACCACTCTTATAAGGATATAACCTCTTTTCAACACTCTTATACGCATTTAAAAGAACTCTAAGTTCTATGTGGGCTGGTATATTGATGTTCATAACGGACGTGTGCTGCTTGGGGGACTTACCTAGTCGGCCTATTTGTCCCAGGTAAACATACTCGTCAACAACTTCGAGCTTAGTGTCCCCAACAACTACCGGCATAGGTGTGACATGGACGTTACACATGACTTTTGTATTGTCCATGTTCATCTTAAGACCTATCCGTTGGGAGGCACTATTGAGGTCATTGAGCATAGTGCTTAGGTCCTCCAACGATTCTGCCATGAGGACTATATCGTCGGCAAATCAAAGGTGAGTGATGTAATCGCCATTGATGATAATATCGTATCCTTTCTAGACTAGTAGCTTGAAAACGT